CTCTGCTCCCAGTGTGGCCCGAGCAGTGCTGGGCACCCTGTTGAGTCAGAGCTCTACCTGTTAAGTTCTGGTTGGTTTGGTGATTTTCGAGATAAGCTTGTCTGGCAATACGGGAGCTACAATATCCCATTGTGAGACATTGAACGAAGTGTTATGAATGAGAACTATAGGTTACTTACGTAACTCCAGTTCTCAGAGTAACAGGAAGTGAGATGTCTCACCAGACGGCCCTCCTTGCTATGGTGAAGCAAGAAGAGATGCTTATTTTGAATGACGCATGCGGCGTAGCGCAAGCTACTTATAGGGGGTGGATTCCCTGACGCTGACGTCAAGATCACCTGCCAATCAGGATTGGCGTAATGAGATTGATGCTTCTGTTTGCTCCGCGGATGAGGCGCATCCCATAGTGAGACATCTCACTTCATGTTACTCTGAGAACTGGGGTTACGTAAGTAACCTATAGTTTTTAAATACAGTTTTAAGGCAAGTTGTATTTTTGAGGATTGTGCTCTCTGCAAATACAAAATGTTAATAAACCTAGAGTCTCAATATTTAAGAAAGTAACATTTAGGTTTTGGTGTTCTTAGGAGAAAATCTCTGTGTGCACAATTATTGGGTGGACTATTAGTGTGCAGAACTAATATGCAAAAACGTTCCCATCTCACTTGTTTATTTTCATCTGTTAAAGTGAGAATAATAAACAAACAACTCAATGTACAAATAAAAATGTCTGAGATAAAAAAAAACAGTAATGAATATAGCCACCCTTCTCTTCAATAACAAACCTTCCATTCATGGAGTCTGTCAGTTTCTGGATCTGTGGACAATCAACCGCAGCCTCCTCACAGCTATTCATGCAGAGGAGCACTTCGATGCATGCGATGGAGCATTGTCCTGCATAAAATCATGGTCTTCTTTTTGTGTCTTCCAAAGTGTGTTCTAAAAACTGGCAATAGGGTTGGGAGTTGATTTTGAGTCAACCCTCACTTCTTCACCCTGAAAAGGTCAAACTAGCTCATCTTTAGTAATACATGCACCACCTCCACCTTGCTGGGGTCTGAGTGGAAGTGGAGCTCTGTGCCCGGTACTGATCCAGCCACCCATCCATCTGGTCCGTCCAGAGTCACCCTCATCTCATCAGTCCAGAAAACCTTTGACAAATCTGTCTTCAGATATTTCTTGGCCTAGTCTTGATCTCATGTGTCTTGTTCAGTGGGGGTTTCAGCCTCCCTCACCTTGGCCATGAACACCTGAGACTTCTGGGCCCTCAGGTAGGTCACAGTTCTGGAGTATGACCGCACTGGAGGATAATGGCTTCACGTTTGATTCTTCTCAGATCTTTGGCAGTTCATTTGACACGTTTCTTGCTACCCTGTTGACTATTTGCAACAAAACCGTTGATTGTTTTGTGATCACGCCCAAATATCTTAGATATTTCTAGCTGCATCCGTCTGAAATACTTTTTAAATGTTTGACTTTCCAAAAGTCAGTTACATATATTTTTCGCCCATTTTGCCTGAGGAAAAGAAGCTGCCTAATAATTATGCACACATTGATATATAGGGTGTTGATCTCCTTAGGCCACACCCTCCCTTATTAAACAAATCTTAAATCTAATAAGCATTCAAGTTTTTACAGCTTGGAGTTGGAAAATATGCAATATATAATTATGATATGGTCAAAATAATTACTTGCCTTATAATTGTACACACAGCGTATATTGAATACACAATATAAATATATAAGTATACGGAATAGAAGGCAGTTTACATTATGCTTGTCCAGCCTCACAATATACACTTTACAATTTACATTTGAGTTAGCAGAATATCACGGTGTTATGTTAAATTTAAGTCCTCAAGGGACCACCTGAAAACAATAAATACCAATAAGTGAATAAGTGATTAAGAAGGAATGCACATTTGAACAAATATTCTTTGACAGAATGCTCCTCTCCTGATTAAAAGGACCCTTAAAGGGATACTTCAGCTGTGGCCATGACAGATAGAAAGTGCACCTCTGACCTTGCGTGTCGGCTTCCTTCAGGGTCACAGCGTACTGAGACCTCGAGGTCAGGCCGCTCAGGAACATTGTGAGCAGCTCGGACATGTCCTCGGCCGTGCCTCCGCTCAGGGTGAAGTCTCCTTTCAGAGTCAGCAGACTCACGGCCTGGCTGGACGCTTTACCCTCCCTGATTCACAACACAAGGAACAGCTCAGTTTAACTGACTCGACCTCTGGAGAGAGCTTCCTGCTCCTCTGATCCGTCCCTACCTCACGCTGTGGACTCCGGTGACTTCTGGGAAGGAGAGCTCCAGCAGCCTCTTCTCTCTCTCGTCCAGGAAAGTGATACCAGTCCAGTTTATGGCCACAATGAACTTGCTCTTCGGCAGCGCAGGACCTTCACCAGAGAAGCAGAAGGCACAGGGTTAGTTATTCCTTTTGTATAACCAACAGTCCATGAAGATATTTGACTAAAAATCAAACAAAACACTAAAAAGTCAAACATTTTCACAGATAAGCATCAGAAAGATCAGCATTTTAACTTTTTATTACATTTTACTTGTTAGACGCTTTTATCCAAAGAGACTTACATGCTCAATACTGTGGACAATCACCACAGGAGCAATTTGGGGTGAAGGGTCTCAGGGACACAACGACCTTCTGACTGCAGTGGGGTTTGAACCTGTGACCCCCTGATCCCAACACCAAGGCTCTGTCCACAGCACCACACGCCTTTTATTATGTTGGCTGGGTTAAAGCATATAGCAACAATGTTGGCAAAGATTAGGTTTTTAATTATCTGAAAGCTTGACATACTAGCTCATATAGTAAGAGTATAAGAAACGACAGACAGTCAGACTTTTTAGGACATTAAGATTTGAATCTCTTGGCAACTTGTTGACACATATTTGTTGTCCTCTTAGGCCATCAAAGCTACTTTTTATATGTATTTTACAGTAGGGACTTGG